CAAAGGGGACAAGGTTCTCTGTGAAAAATGATGGAAGCCGCTGATGGTGGAAACCTGATCGCATCCTTCTCCGGCTCAGGTAGTCCCTTTCGATTTGCACGTTCATTACCGCAGGTAACTTCTTTGGCTACTTCTCTTCTGCCTTAAGTATAGTAAGTATACTTTAACCACGCCCACTATAAGTTTGGATCCGAAAAATTATGGATCTTTGACCTTTAATCACAAGAACCTTAAATACAACGTATCATACAATTATTATTATTTTATATTAATTAATCATTTTAATAAATTATTTTGGTAAAGCTTGGATCAGAGGCGTAGAGGGAGAGACGATGGAGCACCCAAAATATACTCGGTAGTTTATATTATGTATAAAAATATTCAACATAATTATTATAAAATGAACAATATTAGTGTGTATATAAATATAAATATATATATATATATATATATATATATATATATATATATATATATATATATATATTATATAAATAATTTTTTATATATCTTTATATTATTTTTTTTTGCGTGTGGATATATTTGAAAATATATCAACAAATAAATTTAATATATTACACATTTTTAATTTAATTTAAAGGTTTGAGACGGTGAGATCAACTCTCGATTCTCCGATGCTTTAAATTTTCTGCGGAATATGTGATAAATTCTTCATTTAAAAATGGATGAGTAAAATCCTAGGATATATTACTACATTATCTTTGAATATAAACTAAAATTTCAAAAATACTTAGAACAACATATATTTGCACAGAATCATGCGATTTCAACGATTCTTCATTTGTTTTTTAAGAAATTTCGTTAACTGTTTAATAACATATACAACAAAAATGTATACACTTTTGAGTTCTTCGGAAATTTTTTTCAACCACCCATTGTAATTTGTTTTCTTTATTCTTTTCGATGAAATAGATTAATTTAAAGGAAGATCTTCGAAGCAGAAGACTTTTACCAAGGTTCATTGAAATTCGTACATTCGTTTAGGCGTAACGAATAAGCGGTACAGATTTTTCGGCCGCCATCTTGAAAAGAAAGTACTTTTCCGTGAAGTATGTTATATACATAAATTTGAAGATCTGCAAGGAGGAGATTTTGGCCATGTTTCATGGAAATCAGTGCATCCTTATAGAAGCTACAGTCAATAGCGACACAGGTTTTTCGGTCGCCTTCTTGAAAGAAAAGAGCGGATGGTAATGCCGAGTTCCGAGGATCCTCCTTTAGTGCCCTTTGGCATTAATACTGAATATCAAAACAATCGGTCTAATAGTCTCGAAGAAAGGCCGCGTACGTCTTACGGCGGACGTCTTAGGTATGGGATAGAGACAAACAACTCCCTAACTCGTACAGACCTATATGTCTCCTTCCTGTGAAGAACAAGGTCCTGGAGAATCTCATGATAACCAGTTTACATCTTGTTTTCGAAAGAGCAAGTCATCCACGCCAATATGGTTCAATCTGAGGCAATGGAACTGCTGATGCCATGCTGAGGGTGCGCAGAGATGTTGAGGAGAGGGCGGAGCAGTATGTGATGTTTTCGACATATCCTTCGCCTTCGACAATGTATGGTAACCTAGCGTGCAGAGGTACAATGCTCGCAGCAACTTATACGCTCTTGTAAGAAGTGAAGTCCTACAGGGCAGAAGTGAGAAGATTAGAGATAATTATTATGAGATCGAAACTTACATGGAAAGAGATTGCTCTCAAGAATCAGTCATAGGTACTGCTCTATAGAAGCTAGCCTTTAATGATTTGCTGGGAGTGTTAGGGGAAGAGCGGTTTCCTCTTCCTTCGTGTTTGAACCGGACACAGAATAATCCAGTACTGGAAATCTCAGAAGCCAACTAATTTTACTACCGCAACCAATCAAATGTTGCCTCACCTGACAAGCTTAATGATTGAGACCTTCTTCATACTGAAAGTGCATAGATCTTTGAATGAATAATCTCTAATAGTTCTTGTAATTCAAATCGTAAAAAATCTAAGTAGTAGTCTTCTGTCAGATGATTTCCTAAAATGAAAGAACCAAACATTTACTGAAAACTCATGATGCTATTACCTAATAATCAAGCAGCCAATAAAATTTAAACAAATAATAATCGTGTCCTTGAGACAGATTGTAATATTTTTCAATAAATAAAAAAAAATAATCGGATAATGACATATGTTTCTTATTGTTTTCTAGTGGCTAACCCACTATATATTCTTTTGATACGTTTTATACAATATATCATAGTATATTTCAAAAATATCAATATCAAGAAACTTGTATATACATATTTTTTTTTGGACATGGAATACGGTTTAGATGACTTTAGTAAAAAATATATTGTTTTTTATTAATTATTCAGTTTTTAAGGATTCTATACAGTAAGTGAGAGCGAAAGTTAAAAGCAAAGATTTATTAAGCTGAGCTGAGGAGAAAGCGATGAAGTCCGAGAAAGAACTAAAGGAAGATTTATTCGGTGGAGTAAAGAGGAAGAAAGAGGGAGTCCCATGGGGGCGGTGGATGGGGCCCGGAGTCCCATGGGAGATGGGGGCTGTATGTCGTCGCCCCTCTCTCAGGGCTTCCTTCCAAAATTGTTTGTCGGCTCCGCTGCGGTTTCAGGAAATTTCAGGTCTGTCATGACGAGGCATTGCTACAGGTAACCTTTTCGAAAACTGTAAATTCTATGCGTGTTAACAGGACGTTCTACGGATATTGAGAAGAAAAAGTGAAATTATACTAAACATTCTTCCTTTTCCAAAAAAAACAAAAACTTCAAACTGATATTAAAGGGCAAACACACATTTTTTTTTCCAAAATTTATATATTTTTAATATTGTTGGTTATGACTTCAATTCTTTTTGTTATTATAAAAAACACATTTGATCCTTAATCCTACTTTATAAAATCACATTAAAACTATTTGGGCTAATTTAGCTTCGCGTGTTTTTTTCTAATATTGAACCTCATTTCATTTTTATTTTACCTATTTATAAGATACATATATGGATACCAAATATAATATTAAAGAATACATATGAAATCAGAGAGAACAGAACAAAACGAAAAGAAAAAAAAACAAGCAAGATAGAATATGAATAATAGAAAATAGTAAAAAATAAAATACTATTAAATTACAATACTAGACTAAAGAATAAAAAGTAAATAACATAATGACAAAAAAAGTATAAAATAAAAATAATAAGATAGCAAGCAGCTCAATGCAATGAGTCCCTCGGCCATCGCCCCAGCAATCTTCTGGGCGGATTATATGGATTTGTAGCAGTAGATAGAACCTGAGTAAGTGGTCTGAATTTAAAGTCAGTCTGTCACGAAAATTATTAAAACAGACTCAGCAGTTGCTGTGATAAAAGGAATGTCAAGGTCAGTAAAATTGGAAACATATAAGGGAGGAGTCTGCAATTTTCCAGAGAACTTTTGACTGAAACGATTAGATCCTTTTTATGTTTCTAACAACGACTGCGGTGTCTGTGCTCTCAGTTTATTTAATATGGGTTCTGAAAAAATAAAAACCGATGTAATCATATTTGCTGAATTACATTGAATATTTAGTTTGATGACCCGATTGGTAAGAAGGCATCTTCATGGTTTTTTTTTTAGGAGATGACAGAAAAAAAAATGTTTTGCTAATTTAAGCCATAATCAAAATTTAGCGGTTTGAGAATAGCCATAAATATTTTGCAATATTTAAACATTTGTGACAGCGACTTTATCAGTGTTATAAAAAGAAAAATTAAGAATACAACGAACAAATTAATAATATGTAGAACTAGTGCTTCATTCTATAATACTTCCAGACAAATATCAAATATGACTTGTGGAAAGTTTACTTTTTCACTTTTCATAAGTTTGACAATAATATTACTTAACAGAATTTTGTGCATATTCACTGTATATTTCTTTAATTGTGGTTGGGGTGATCAGTCAGAAATAAAAAGACAAAATGAATTATAATATTTATTTTAACATTTGCCGACGTTTCGACCTGAAGTTCGACCTGTTCGAAGTTCGAAGCTGAACTTCAGGTCCATGAAGTGGGTAGAATAATGACAATAACAAGAAATAAGAAATAAATAATAATAACCGTTACAAAGTGTGGAATAATGAAGTAAACATAATCAAAATAAGGTGACATAAATATTAAAATGGTAATCTTAGAATAAAATGTAAAATAGAAAAAAGGAATATGAAGTTATATAAGAAATAAAAATAAATAGTAAAATTAAGATATTTTAAATAGAATAGTTAGATAGAAAGTTGAGATATTGTAAAGTCTTTCAAGATGTACTGATAACGTATAATATAATAAAGATTTTTTTTTTTAACTTTCTTTATTGAATATTAATACATTCTGCCACATTGAAGGGCAAATAAAGAATTAAAACAGAGAAAAGGAATGAAAGGAACGAGGAAAAAGACGAGAAGGCTAAAATAAGAAAGAAAAAAGCAAGACAAACCTGCTCTCAATAGATTGAAAATATTAAGATAAATATTATTATTTATTTTGCCTTTTTATTTCTGACTGATCACCACAACCATCTTTCTTTTAAGTATATTTTTTTAATTTGAGAAACAATCTATTACCAACAAAGTTTATTTTATCGTCATGGAACATGTAGCAGAATCCTAAACTCATACATTGAAATATATAAGGTATGAATATACTATTAGTCATACTAACGTCTCAGATTTTTTTTTTAGTTTTCAGAAAGTTATGTGATTTTTCTCAAATCGCCGATTCATTTACACAATGTATAAATATTTGTGAAAATAATCAGTCCCGAAATATATTTAATTCAGACGCAGGCTACATTTTTTTTTTTTTTTTATTATGTTATTATTATTATCTGTAAAAATAGACGAAGAAGAAGAAAAAAAGAAAAACAGCAATCCTTTTAATAGACAGACAGAATAACACTCACTCATCCTAATCGCATTATACAAGAGCTGTTGAAAAGATATGATGGATGAGTAGCTAAAGAGGAGCAGATGAGGTGATTACGCCGTGGTGGACCGCACGCAGACCGCACCGCAAGAACCAGGCGATTGGAAGCGATCGAGGATTATTCGGCCTCAGCTTATAGCCAGCGAGGTATCGGTTATAAAACAAAACTCGGACGGAGGGCCATATGGAACTGAAAGGTGAAGAAGATTAATGTACAGTTCATTCCCCATCCATGACCTTTCTTTTTTCTACTACGCCCCAGCTGCACCGACGCCAAACTAATTTTAGTTCCGCCTCTTCGCCCGCTCTCTGTTTGGAACGGCACCAAGAGAGCGTATGGGGAACAGCGTTACGGGCAGTGAGCGCCAACATTCGGCGAATTGGACAATTGATTGTCAATACAGCCAACAATTACAATACCTTATAATAAATAATGGTCATTCAAACCAATCGATGCTTTATGGGGTCTATTCTCAAAAAAATGTCAAACTCTGTCCGAATGATATTGCCGACTCTCATAAAAAATTTTTGTATTAAAAATAAATATCGCTACAAACATTATTTGAACTCGAAATTAAAAAAAATGAAGTTATTCTTGGCTGGAGTTCCCCAAGGATCGATATTAGTTCCTCTACTTTATATTGTATATAATTATGACATACCTGTTAACAATAAGACATTGAAACATATTAACGCTGACGATACAACAATTTTCACAAAACATCCAGATCCTCCACATTCCTTACTAACTTTACATCACTTACTTTTGTTTTATTTTTATCTTTTTCTGTAACTGTGCAGTAGCACATCTAGCGAATTCGACCTAGTGATTATTATCTGCGAATATACTTGAGAGACATTAATTTTGTTATTATTGAAGAAGGAGGTCTTTCGGCCATTTTATTTTTAATCTGCGTGGAGCTGATAACATAGGGGAGGAGATTGAAAGAACAAGTGGATTGTAGTGATTTGGAGTTGCAGAATGAAAGTGTATTGTATTTGTCATGGATGTAAAATTTTACTGTTGAATGTTTAAGTCGTTTTGTATAGTGTTATCTCAAATATACCAATGTGTGCTAACAATATTTCGTATAATTTTCTATTGTTGTTTTTATTTTATTTATGTGTGTTCGTTTTGTCGAACCATGAAGTTCTAATCCGTATGTCCAAAATGAATTTCATGATTCATTCATGTACACCCTCTAATGTGAAGATTTTATGAAATTTCCCATAATAAATTCAAATTATCGTAGAATTGATAGTGCGTATCACTGTCTTAAATCTTTAAATATAGATATATAATGTTAATCACTCCTTCACATATAATCGTTCTCATATTTCCAAATATATCCTACGTAAAAAAATATATATATAAAAAAACGGACATATAAATTTATTTTTTTATAGTATTTTACTGTAGCATTTTACAATAATTATGTTATGTTATCACTCATAATTTGTATACATAATATAAACTCCCGAGTCTTTTTTGGGAAGTCCATCCCCCTCTCAACCAAAATGAAAAGTCTGCAATTATGGTCAAGGTGCATTCTTACACAAGTTTTTACGCTTAATTAGTTATAAGCGGTTAATGTTTTTTCAGATTATTTTTTATTTTATTAGGTAATATAATAGATGTGATTTAAGATTATTTTTTAATTTAATAGGCCTTGGCGTGGAGTTCGGATGTGACATATTCCTTTCTTTTTTTTTCTTATTTGCCCCTATTTTCACTAATATAACCATTGTACCAAAATTTTAGTATTTATGTTAGGTGTTTAGAAAGGTATTTTTTAAAGTAAAGTGTACACTTTACTATAAAAAACACCTTTCTTCTATGTAATTGGTGTACTAACAAAATTGAGGACGAATAAATGAAAATTGTCACAACCGTACTCAGTCTATCCTACATAGTTTTTTTAAGTTACTGGGTTGTATATAGTTATAGGTGGGCATGAGACTTTCCTTAGAGAGAAACTTACGTGGGTGGATTTTCTGTCATTTATTTTAACTTAAAGTTTAATTACTTAAATAATAATAATGGTTCTGATTATGGAAAATCGATTAAATCATAATTAATTCAAACATGTAATATATAATATTCGAAGAAGAATCTGCCCTCTAGTTTATACTAAATACTAGTGTTGCCCAATGCGAGACCAAGACAAGTGTTGTTGGTCTTGCGCAAGAGTCTCGCAACAGACTTGCAGTTACCTATTAGCTTATTACTACAGAGATATTACTGTATGTTTATTAAAAATATCGTTTGTTTTTTTTACCAGTATTGGTCTTGCAACATCACAGTGGAAGACCAAGACTGATTTTGGTCAACGCTATTGACTACAACCAAATTCCCCAAAAAGAAAACCAATTCATATTTCAAGCTGGGAATAAGTCAGTTACATCCATTTGATTAAATTAATGCAATATTTTATTTAAAAAACAAAACAGAATGAATAAACGAAACGTAAATAAAGAAAGCTTCTATAATTCTTCAACTTTTTTTTTTAAATAAAAGTATCGAGAAAAATCCTATCAGGTAACTGTAATTTAACAATGGCTCATGGGCCCTACTGTAATCTAGAATCGAAAAATATTCATGAAAGACTGAAAAGGGCTCGCTGTTTAAAGAAGCTGGCCCGGCTGATAACAGAAATGGAGTTTATTCTCGGAGAAAGTTTTTGACATTATAAATGAGCCCGCGAGGAAGAGATAGGAGCCAGGGTTGATTTAAATTCAGGGCCCAGATGAAGGGGGGGGGGGGAGAGAAGCGATCGATGGCCCCCCTCCAAGCCAAAAAATGCAACCAAACCGATCAGATTGCAGAGCCTGTCTTAAAGTTTTCAGAAGCTACCTAATTTCAATAAATTAAATATTCGATTTATTTTTTCAACATATTATATTAACTAGATTTATGAATTCTGATAGAATAAATAAAGGCTATACTAAGGTCATGATCAATAATCGACATTTAAAATCAAAGCATAAAATATTACAGCATAAAATACAAGACAAGACATAAAGTCATTGTAATAACATTTCTAGTTGGAAAATTTATATCTGTACATTGAGTAAGTTGATTCCAGAGTAGGTGATTGTGTTGATAGGTGACAGTGTTGATATATAGAATTGTAAATAAAGGAATAAATTTTCCAACTAGAAATAGTGAAAATATATTAACTAAAATTAATAATAAAAAATGATGAAATTGGAGTTAGTCATTCTTTCAACTGAAATATAGACTAAAATCACGTCATGTATGACATCTTACGAATAATATAACAGATCTGAGCAAACATTATTTAATCAGTATTTAAAATATCAAATATTTTGTGTTTTTAAAACAATGTTAATTTTAATTAAAAAATATTTAAATTCATTTCGGATTAAGTATTTAAAATATAAAATAACAAAAGTATTTTGTATTTTATATTAAGTTTTTTTTTATATTTTTTTTTTATATTTTTGCACTTTATAACTAATTCCGTAAGAAATAGTTTTTTTTTAAAAATATTTTAGTAGGAAAATGAATCTTTAAATAAGAAGGCAGTGGATATCATTTTTAAACAAGTAATATTATTCATTCAATTAGTATAAACTATTTTATTCAATTTTATGATATAACTAATTTATTATGTACAATTTATAATAAAAGTTAAGTTTTGTCAAATTATTTAACTTTCAATATTCTCTTAGGTAAAATACAAATTGAATCATTTCTGTTTCTTTGCTAAAAAGTACTTGAAAATATTATTTAAAAAAGGCATGTTTTCCCCAACTAAATATATGTCAGTCCACTTTAACTTTATTGAACAAACTATGTTCTTATACGCTTTCCTATAATAAAACCCGATGGAAATGGAAGGTTTGATATCAATTGGTTTTAATTCTTTTTTAATCTTGAATTTATGGGCACATAAAAAAAAAACAACTATTTATACATTTCTTTTTTACAAACAGACCTTGTGGGTACTGTACTCTTAACCATCCTTCTTTAAGTTCTAAGGAACTTTTTTTGTAATAAAGTTCCATGTTTATGGTAAAAGTTAAACTTGTGAATGTTCAAGTTCTTAAAACAATTCCCGTTGAATGCAAATTGGGCTTTGATTAGAGTCACAATTGGCCTTAAATGAATTAAACATGATTCTAATATGTCCTTTGTTTGAGTAGTTATGAACTTAAGTCATTTTTCTAGATCGATTTCTCAGCGAAATTAACAAAAGTTGTGTAAAAGCTTTACTTGAAAAGTTGCAAGGGAAAAAGTTCTAGTTCCGAAAGAACTGAAAAACTATCGACAAATAAAAATTCAGTGGTATAGAAGCTTTTTAAAAATAAAAGTTTTTTTTTCTGTTTCAAGCCTTGTCTTAAATTGTTTCTTCATTGCAAATGACTTTACAGTTAAATTTTTGCAACATTTATAAACAAATTATATTTATGACGGATATAATTTTTTTTTCTGTAAAGATTTTTAAAAATTTTAAAAACAGTAAATCCCCCTCTTTTCCTTAAATTGACTGGGCTCGAAACTTGTCTATAAATCACTGGAATAGCTCCATCCGAACTCCACCCTCCGCCTTCTTCTTGGTCCTCGTTTGCTCCCTTCTATTACCCCGAAGAAGACTGTATCAGAAGAAACTTTATCGTTAAGAGTAAATCAATAAATGAATTTTTTTATCGAAACTAAATACTATTACTTATTTTGCATACAAAGCGCATTATTAGAGACCACTTAAACACAGGTGTTCTCCTCTATTGTGGTTCGGTATAAAATCATACAAATATATGGAGTTACATATCACACATTAACACCCTAAAACTTAAATGTGGAACTATCTAGGTGTGACGTATCAATTATCTGTATTTGGATAATTTTTGATAGACTGTTGATGTGACATTATACACCTCAGATCTGCATAAAATTTATGTTAAATTTTCAACTATATTATTATATTTCTAGATCCGATATTATATATAAATAATTAGGTATACATTGTCAATTTATTCCGAAAAAAAATCTCTTTGTGAAATCACAACATTATACACTTAAAATTATAGTCCGTGGTATAGACCCCTATTTATCGAATTATTACATCCGCCTGAAGCTTCGTAAATAGTTTCATCTCATCGTAACGTACAAATATTTTATTTAAAAAACTCTTGAAATTGGATCGTTTTCAATCTGGAGGGAGCCACCTTTGTCTATTTAATTAGGTACTAAAAACTCGTAAACGCACATTTACTTTCTACTTGGATCGTAAGATAATTTGATCACAAAGTCGAGAAAAAACGTGGCCTTCAAAAATATTGAGCCTTTTGGCGTGACCTACACCCCCAAATTTTCAAAATAATAATAAGGTTATATAGGTCAAACT